CAGATCTACTCGACTCCATGTGCCATGAGTTAGATATTTGTCTCAATACTGATGATAATTCAGGTAATTTGAAAATGTTTTACTTTTACTTATATATAATTTTTAAATTATTTCTCATTACAGTCAAGACTATAACAAATTTATCCCCGAAACTGAAAAAATCTAAAACACTAATCATCCGAATCCAACAAATGGTATCATATATTGACAATCAATGGTCTGTTTTGTTGGCATTGAATACAGTACTGTCTATGTTTGCCGTAATGATAGGCATCTATATCCTGGCTAATATTAACCAGGTCGCTTACTATAAAGAGTTTTCGCATTTTCTATACTTTCTGGGCGTTTGTAGTATTTGTCAATTCATTATGTGTTGTTATTTTTGTGGCTTAATTGAGACAAAAGTACAAACACTTAATATTGTGTTGGACGGCATGCTTGACACCGATTTGTCTTATAATGAACACAAAGAATGGGTTTATATTAAGAAAATCATACGAAATACTCATTCATTTGGTATAACTATCGGTGGATTCGCTAATTTCAATAAATCAACACTTATTGCGGTAATGATTATACAAATTTGAGTACAATTTTTATATTTTAATGTTTTTATTATTTATACTAGGTATTCACATTTGTTATGAACTATACAATCATTTTGATGCAGACCTCATTAGCTAATTCAAATAAAACATAATTAATTAATTTTATTTTAAGGCAAAAATAACATTGAAATTCATATTTTTTATTAGTTTTTATAAACAAGAATATTATTAAAGAAATACATGTATATTTCTAATTTACCTATTTTATTAGCACTATATCATAAGATTAGTTTATTACAATAAAAATATTATGTTTATATTATGTAAATATAATTATTGGAAAATATTAAAATTACAATATTGAATAGAATTTTGTTGATATTATACAAATGATAAATAAAATAAATTAGGAAATACTGTATAACAAACATTAATGTATTGAAAATAATTAATTTTGCTAATGTAAAATTTAATCAGAAAGTTATAAAAATATTTAGAAATATACGGTATTTTATTATCAATATCACACTTTTGTTTTGTAGACAAATAAGTGGACGTTAAAGGTTAATAGTTAAACGTATCATAATAGTTAGTTTAATAGTTATTATACCTGTACTTATAAATGGGTATTAGTGTATTAGTATAGTTAAATTCAGCAATATGAAAACATGCAATACTAAGTTGTTAGATTACATAGCACATCTATTAATTAAATATTACCGCATATATGGCATAACATTTGGTGGACTTGTGTTGGAATACTCGGCAAATGAGTGGACAATAAAATGCAGTAAATTCTGGAAATATTACGGATATTCTGTGACAATAATATTCCTTACATTTACGGTACCATTTGGTCCAATGTTTAGTATTTACGAAATTATATCTTCAAATGCGGACATATTTGGTATAATCATTGTCATCTTAAATGCATTTCAATCATCAATGTCCATTATCATAATCTATTGCATCAATTGGCACTCGTATTCAGTATTTGACAAATATATTACTACTTTGTCTAATATTAAGAGTTTTAAATTGTCCATGAATTTTATTTTATTAGCTTGTATATCTCTAATCTATACATGTAGCGTATGGATTATTACATTTATGAACATTATGAAAACAAAACTATCCTGGAGATTTATACGTTTTGTTTATTTCAATTTCACTTTTATATGGCTTTATTTTCTACCATTTATTGTCTCATTAATGTCTATACATTTGTCCGATTTACTCGACTCCATATGCCATGACCTGGATAAAATAGGTCCCAATAGCTTCATTGTTGATAATTCAGGTAATTTTAAAATCATCTTGTTCAGTATAAAACAATTTAATAATTTTATATTAGTTAAGACAATAACAGATCTAACGATTAAACTGAAGAAATCTAAGACATTATTCATACGAATCCAACAAATGGTGTCATATATTGACAGTAAATTGTCGTTTTTGTTTGCCTTGTATACAGTGCTGTCTATCTGTTCAGTAATGATAGCCATCTATACCCTGGCCAATATTAGCCAGGTCACTTACTATAAAGAGTTTACTCATTTGCTATACTTTATAAGTTGTTGTGGTATTGGTCTGTTTACTATGTGTTGTTATTTTGTCGGTTTAATTGAGACAAAAGTGCAAACACTTAATAATGTATTGGACGGTATGGTTGACACCGATTTGTCTCATAATGAATACAATGAATGGATTTTATTCAAGAATATTATACGAAATACTCAATCATTTGGTATAACTATCGGGGGTTTTGCTAAACTTAATAAATCAACATTTATTGCGGTTTTGTATTTAAAATCTAAATTTTAATTTTTATATTAAATGATTGTTTCTTATATTGTTTATACAGATCTTCACATTTGTCATGAATTATACTGTGATCCTGATACAGACATCATCAAGTAATTCTTATCAGGGCAATTGTGTGAATAAAAAACTAATGAATGACACTAAATAAGATATCTCATGAGGTGTCAGTAAATTGTACAAGGATAATCGGCAATATTTAAATCAAAACACTGAACAATTTATTCATTGGGATATAATTTGATTAACATTGCTATATATTTTCATTTAATTGCATTAGACATTCACATTTGCCATACGACAATCTGAATTCAATCCACATAAACCAATTTTTAAAAATTAATTTTTTTTACTCTACCTTAAATGTTAAAATTAACACAATATTTTATAATTGCATATTTAGTCTGATTATTATTTATTGATTTTGTTTTGTAAACTTTACATTATTATAATACTAAATGCATTTGTTATAATAATAATTAAATAAAATATCGATTAAATGAATGCTAATATTAATATGTTTTATATTTTACCGGCACTTTAATTATATAAAGATTCAAAGTTATGTAAATAAAAAACTAATTATTTTTTCTGTGTATAAATAAATATAATCAGAAAATCTTATTTTAGTTTTCAATCATACAAAATAAACAAATTGTCACATTACCACGTCTCAGCAAATTGTCGATTCAATACTGTGTTAAAGTTATTTTTGATTTTATTAGTTATTAAAATTTATATATGTTTTACCGTATATTCATCAAAATGTTATCATATAAAACTAAGTTGTTAATTCAACTAACAAATCTATTAATTAAATATTACCGCATATATGGCCTAACATTTGGTGGACTTGTGTTGGAAAACACGGCAAATGAGTGGACAATAAAATGCAGTAAATTCTGGAGATATTACGGATATTTTGTAACAATATTTATATTTATATTTATGCTATTAATGGGCCCAATGCTTAACTATTATATAATTATGGCTACCAAATTGTCACAAATTGGTATTGTTAATATCATACTAAATACTATTCAAGGATGTGTGTCCAGTATTGCACTTTATTACATGAATTGTCAATCATACTCTGTATTGGACAAATTCTTTATAAATCTAGCTAATGTGCAAAGTTTTAAAATATCATCTATAAGGTTTCTTATATTGATTAGTCTATGTATAGCTTATACAATAGGCATGTGGGTTATCAATATTATGAATTCCATTCATGATATGCATGAATCTAATTGGGCAGTAATTGGCTCATTATATTTCAACTTTACCTTCACATGGCTATGGATCCTACCATTCATTGTCTCATTTATGTCCATATATATAGCTGACATACTTGATGCCATGTGTAATGAACTGGATAATTCAGGTTTTACTGCACGTAATGATAACTCAGGTATAATGATAATTTTTAAAGGTAGATAAAAAATTAATTTATTAATTATTCCTTGTAGTCAAGACTATTACAAAATTATCGCTTAAATTGAAAGAATCTAAAACACTATTCATACGAATCCAACAAATGGTGTCATACATTGACAATCAATATTGTGTTGTGTTTGCATTAAATACAATACTGTCTATTTGTGCCGTAATGGGTGGTATATATACCCTGGCTAATATTGATCAATCTGCTTTCTATCAAAACTACACTCATTTCCTATATTTTGTGAGTTGTAGTGGTACATGTCAGTTCATTATGTGTTGCTATTACTTTGGTCTAATTGAGACAAAAGTGCAAACACTTAATAATGTATTGGACGGTATGGTTGACACCGATTTGTCTCATAATGAATACAATGAATGGATTTTATTGAAGAAGATTATTAGAAATACTCATTCATTTGGTATAACTATCGGGGGTTTCGCTAAATTCAATAAATCAACATTTATTGCGGTTTTGTATTAAATATTTATAGTTTGTTATATTATTTACAATAATTTTCCTTATATTCACGATACAGATATTCACATTTGTCATGAATTATACAGTGATTCTGATACAGACAACATCAAGTCACTCTAACCAGGGCAATTGCTTTAATATAACACGAAGTAATACAACATCTAAAATGTGACTGGTATGTTCTTAATAAAATTTATTTAAATCATGTTCATTACATAATGTTGTTACGCCCATTAATATAGGATTCATAGCCATTTATCATTTAAATACAGAATATTTTTATAAAATGTACTGGTTCTCTATGTCAATTACTGTATATGATTTACGGTATTACCTAATATTCTAAGCACTGGATGTCGTGTAAGTCTAGGTTTGTCTATGTATTGAGAATAAGTCCAAAAAATAACATTTTAAGAATGATTTATAAAACATTGATTTTTACAACTGTTACCAATAAATTAGAAAACATATCACAAAATGTTATTTACAGTTATTTATGAATTTGTCAATAAATAGCATGATATATGATTTTGTTTACACTAAATTCACATAAATCCTGTTTACAAATATATTTCAAAATAAACCATTGTTATAATTTATAACGTGTAAATAAACTAACTTAACACTTGCAAAAATAGATTATAAGTTGAACATTATCAATTTTACTGTATGAATTAAATTTTGTGAGTTAAATTAAAGTACGGTACCTTGAACACTTGTAACTTCTATGTAATCATTGTTGTAAACATTTAAGAATAATGCTACACTTCATAATTTTTGATTACCTACCTAATAATAATTAAATTAACATTCCTATTAAAAGTGAATTTATATTTTCTACTCTCTTATCACTAGACCCTGGTCATATAAAAAGTATATTCTTATACAAAAAATAATACAAAATAATAGTATATATAATATTGTAGTTTTGAAGTGAAAATACTTGTGCAACAAGTTTTCCCGATACATGTGCGCTCCTACAGTCTCGG